GTTTCCATCACACCAGCTCTGTCACACAAATTCACACGGAAAAGCAACCCACCACGCATGAGACACATTTATTCAGCATTTCTCAGTCTGGTCTGAAAACCTCCTGCGTAAAAGTCCCTGGGGGTAGACACAGAGAAGCTGTCTTTTTAACAAGCTCCCCAGATAATCAGCGTGCCTGCTAATATTATACTTGAGAATAGCTACTCTCCCTATACCTAATGCAATAGAATATATTCAATTCTCTCTAGTGTTAGGATGAAGATGTCTTAATTGGGGAGATAGTTCTTAAATGAATATGGCTGATTACAATAAGGGCTTTGGAGTAGGACAGATCTGGTGTTAAATCTTACTCTTTTCCTGAGCCTCAATTTGCTCATCTGTGAAATGGGGATTCTATATTTACCACCCATGTCTGTTTTGCGAATCAGAGCCTGGCATGTGACAAGGGCTCAATAAATGTTAGTTATTACTGTTATTGAATAAACCTGTGGTGCTTTTTTTTTAAAAAAAAAAACAAAAAAAAACAAACACCTTTAAACGGGGAAAATTATAGCATCTACTATCTAGGGCAGGGGTTAGCAAACTTTTTCTATAAAAGATTAGATAGTAGATATTTGAGATTTTGTAGGCCACATGGTCTCTGTTGCAGCTACTATATTCTGCTGTTGTAGTGCAAAAACAACCATAAATAGCATGTAAATGAGTGAGCATGGCTAGTGTTCCAGTCAAACTTTACCTACAAAGCCATGCCAGGGCCTGGATCTGGTGCATAGGTGTTGTGAAGATAATTGAGATATGGCTTAGAATAAGCCTAGCACAGTGGCTGGCACTCCAAGAAGGGATTCTAGTTAATTTATATCTGATTTGAGATCTAGGCTTCACTCCATTCTCCAGGGAAAGGAAAGTATCCCTGCCTGATGGAGTCTTTTCAATAGAGGCATCAGCCTCATTCTCTGCCCAAAGTCAGAGCTAAGTGTTCATCTCAGTACCTGGAGCCTGGCAGTGCCGTCACCTCCATCCTCTCCCAAGCACGGAGGTAAAATGAAATGCCAACCCATGGGGTGTGATTAATTCTCTTGTCACACACTTTGCTCCAGGATGCTTTGTCATTTTCAGCATCTGTCCCATGGAAATTGGGTTGCCCGTCTGAGCCCTGATGTGAGAAACCCATTTATATCTGCAGGGTCATTAACCATGAGCTCTTGCATCCTCAAATACATTTAATCCTTGTCTGGAAGCTATATAATAATGGTTAAGAGAGAGAGAGAGAGAGAGAGAGAGAGAGAGAGAGAGAGAGAAAGAGAAACAGAAGGAGAGACAGACCCAGGTTTGGATTCTGTCTCTGCAATGTTCTAGTTGTGCAATGTTGATCAAGTCACTTTCTTTCTCTAAGCTTCAGACCCATCATTTGTAAACTAGGGATTAAATGGGAATATATATATATATATATATATATATATATATATATATATATATATATATATATATATATATATGCCTCAGCACAGTGTAACACACAAGAGCTACTGAACTCCATTTTGCAAACAATAAAGTGATGTAAAGTGGTAAAAAGGGCACATCCAAGGTCATATAACCAGTGATTGGCCTCAGATCAAGGATCTCCAACTCTGGCCCTCAGCTAGTTGTCACCATGCCCCCTTCCCTGGCCACTTCCTGGGACTCCTGCTGCTTCAAGGCAGGGCTGGCTGGGCTTCATGTGACTAAAGCTCTTGAAGAATGTGACATCACTCTGAGGTAGCATGAAAGCTTGTGACCATTTGTCACTGTAGTGAGCTAAGTAGTGCTCTCCCAAAATTCATATCCACCCAGAACCTCAGACCTTATTTGGGATTAGAGTGTTTGCAGAGGCAATTAAGATAAAAATTGGCCTGGCCAGAGTGGCTCCATTGGTTGAGTATCATCCTATTTCTCTTTCTCTTTCTCCCTTCCTCCCTCCCTCCCTCTCTCTCTCTCTCTCTCTCTCTCTCTCTCTCTCTCTCTCTCTCTCAAAATTAATTAAAACAGTTTTTAAAAAAATATAAAGATCAAAACAAGATCATAGTAGATTAGGGTGGGCCCTAAATCCAATGAGATGAAGAGGGCAGAGGACACATAGAGCAACAGGGAGGAAGGCTATGTGAAAAGGAAGGCAGAGGTGGGAGCGATGCTGCCACAAGCCAGAGATTGCAGGAACCAGCAGGATCTGGAAGAGGCAAGGAAGGACCCTCCCCTACAGCCTTTGGAGAGAGTGTGGCCCTGCTGGCCTCCGATATGGGACTTCGGCATCCAGAACTGTGAAGGAAGTCCTTCCTATTGTTTTAGCCACCCAGTCTGTGCTGATTTGTTATTGCAGCCCTAGGACTCGTAGGATGTGAATAATTAGGGTGTTGGACTTAGAACATCTGTCTGGGAAAGGGCCAGAGATGATGAGGCAAGGAGTGTGCATTGTGGAGGCACACAGGTGCTCAGCTTTGAGTTTTGCTTCCTTATTTGTAAAAAGAGAACATGCCAATCCTGCTGGCTTGTGGGGAGGATAAAGAGATGGCACAGCAGAGTGGGCCCCGTGGTAATAACCAAGGTAATTGTAACAATGCATTGAGCATGGCATGTCTAAGTTAATTCAGTTCTCACAACTGCCCTGGCTGGCTGGGTCTCTTAGTATCCTAATGTTACAGAGGAGCAAACTGAGTCATGAGAGGTTTATTAAGACCACACAGCTAGTGAGGAGCAGAGCTGCGACTCAAACCCAAACCACTTGACTTCAGAACATCCCCTACCTCCCATCCCAAAGCCACCACCACCCCATATTGTCCTGTACTCAAAGGTGGTGCTCCTGGAAGCTGGTCCTCTAGCCTAGTTGGAACACAGGACACAGCAATGCTCAATTCATAATAATATCTAATTTTGGGTGTTTTTTTTTTTTCCTTCCCTCCTTTCTCAAGCCAGGCCTTTTGAATGGTGGGAGAGGTGGATTGAAGGGTATGGCAGTTTACCAAAAATCTGACATCTAATGAAGAACTTTGGGTCAGGAGAGTCCCACAGATAACAAAGCAATTGTGTAGGCTTTTGGGAATAGGGCCTCTTCTGAGATCCAAGCAGGCAGGAACTAACTTAGGGAGGTCTGTGATCATAGTACCTGGGCAGGTGTACTGGGTCAGGGCTCCAGGTTATAGAAGAGAGACAGGTAGTCTTTCCAAACCACTGGCTGGGATGTAAGGAAAAAGACAACTGCAGGGTAGCAGCACTGAGGGGCCAGGTATGGAAGAAGTTAGCCGATGTAGGAGATGTGATGTTGGCCTTAGAGTGGAGCAAGAACATCCCCTCCCCTGGGTCTCTTTTTCTCCCTGGGAAAGACCTTAAAATATTGCATCCTTTGCAGGATTCCCTCTGGAAATGTGGGCTAAAGGAATCTCGTAGATGCACACAGAGATTTAAGTTTTGAGAATGCTCATCACAGGGCTCTATTTAGTGGGGAAAATAGAAAACAACCTAACTGTCTGGGTGTTGGTGAAGTGACTCATGATATAGCCGCAAATAGAAAACTACACAGCCTTTCACAGTGCTGCTGGGGAAGACCATCTGAGGACATGCAAAAATGCTCATGATACATTATTAAGTAAAAAAGAGCAGGTAGGAAAATGTGAGACCCTAACATCATACAGTATGACAAAAAACAGACCTATAAAATAGTGAATGTATCTATATATATAAAAGCCAAGTGACCAGAAAGACCAGTTACTATGATGCATACTTTGGCTGGCTAACTGGTCTGATCAGGGCTGGAACCAGACAGCCAACCTCTGCGGCCCCTCCCCGGGACTGTGCATGAATTTGTGCACCAGGCATCTATTATGTATATAATCCTATATAATAAATAGCTAATATGCTAATTAGACCAGATGCCAGAAAGACCTTCTGTGACCAGTGGGTGGGGGGTGAGGTCACAGAGTTGTAAGGCAGCTGGTGCTGTGAAGGCCTACCCTTGCATGAATTTCATGCATTGGGCCTCTAGTTGTATATATACCGAGTGGCCAGATTATTATGATCTCTGAATGCATAATAATCTGGCCACTCAGTGTGTGTGTGTGTGTGTGTGTGTGTGTATGAATTTGTGCATGAGTGGGGTCCGGACACGGGTGGTTGGCCAGCCTGCCTGCTGGTCGAACTGGCTGAGGAGACAATTTGCATATTAGCCTTTTATTATATAGGATATACACTGAGTGGCCAGATTGTTATGCGTTCAGAGATCATAATAATCTGGGCACTCAGTGTATGTGTGTATGTGTATATATACATATGTATGTAGTGTCTTTCTCTATATAGATGATAATGTGTATGTGATAATATATATGGTTATATATGTTTTAAATATGCTTTTAATATATAACAATATATATAATTAACTATAAATATAAGACCAGATGACTGCCCATCAAAATGTGGATAGTGGTTCTCTCTAGGCATTGTAGTAGTGGGTGACTTTTTACCTTGTTATTTTTTTGTCTGTCTGTATTATCTGAATTTTCTACAACAAACTTGTATTATTTTATGTTACTATTGCTTATATCACTTAGTATTCCTGTAAGATGATAATTAATGGTATTACTATAAGATAATTATTATAAAACTTTATTCTCTATAAAGTTGAACTTGGTCTTGGGGGCCGGAACCCGGCAAAGTGGCCATGGTTTAGGGGAGCAGAGGCTCAGGAGCCGGGAACAGCCAGGGACTGTCAAGGCCACAGACACAATCGAGAGCAGGTTTTGGTGAGCCCACCTGAGCCTCCATGTGCCATCGTAACAGGGTTCCCACTGAAAAGTGTGTTTCCCAGCTTCCAAAGGGCCTTCTGGAAAACACACACTTGCTGTGAAAGCTGAGACCATGTGCTTCTGCCATGTGTGAAGGTCGCTGGATCGAATCTGTTCCCTGAAGTGAGGGAATCCTTGCAAACCAGTGTACACCTGGGGCCTTGACCCCTGCATTTCATGTCTCCCACACAGGTCAGCTGGACATCATCTCCATGGCAGAGACAACCATGATGCCAGAGGAGATCGAACTGGAAATGGCGAAAATCCAGCGTCTCCGGGAAGTTTTGGTCCGACGGGAGTCAGAGCTCAGGTTTATGTGAGTGTCTAGGGAAGCAGCCGAGAGGAAAAAGGAGGTTCAGGGGGAGGATACCCAAGAGGCTAACATTTACTGTTTTATTACTGCATGCCAGGCACTGCGATAAAGGCGTTAGGAAAATTCCAAAAATAAATCTTATTTGATTCTCAGTACTGCCTAGAGAAGTAGGCATAATCTGGTGTTTTAAACAAGACTCTGAAGTTGGAATTGAATTCAGGACAGTCTGACTCCAAAGCCTAAACTCTTTCTATGCTACCATTGTGAGGAGAAGTGGAAAGAGACAGATGAGGGTAGGAGATTTTGGGGTGAGAGTGTGGTGGGGACCAGAGGTGGTGCCCTGTGCTGGGGTTAAGAGCACACACTCTGGGTTCAGATAGGCCTGAGATTTGGAAAAACAATGCCAATAATAAGATTGGCAGGTTATTTAGCCTCTCTTCATTTGTAAATTGGGAGGAAAATAATAATACCTCTCTCCTGGGATCTTAGCAGCCTTAGACTCACATGCTTTGAAAATCTATTGTCTATAGAGCACAGCATTTCTGAAGAATTACAGGTAGTCTTTTTGAAAAAAATTGTAATTTTAAAAATTGAACTCTGAAGAGAAACAGTGAGAGTTTAAAAGCAAAACAGAACAAAATAAAAACAGACCATTTGAGAGGAAAATTTCCTACACTGCCTGTCAGCTCCAGGCACAAACTCCACTCAAAGAAGCAGCAACATCACACATTCCAGGCGTGTGCTAAGCTCCTCTCACCCATTCTGTCACCTGTTTCTCTCAATGCCATGAGGCCGTTAAGGTTTTATCCCATTTTGTGGATGAAGAGACTGAGGCTCAGGCAAGTTAACTCTCTCAGGGCCTCCCAGCTAATAAACGGGGGAGTTAGGATTGAAGCCCAGCTCTTCCTGCTTTCAAAACTCATATTCTCACAGTTACATTTTATGCCCTTCTCTCTCATCCCATGAAATGGACCGCAGTATTAATAGTGGCCATTTATGTAGCTCTATATATGGGACAGACCTGTGCTAAATGCACACGTATGATTCCTCCTTATGGGAGTCCATAGAGGAAGGTTCTAGAACATCTCCCACTTTACAGATAAGAAACATTCTCTCTTTCATCTGGTAATAGGATAAACCAATACATGAGTATTTGGAAGCAATCCCTCCCTCCCCAGGGTTTTTTGCTCCCTAAAAGAGTTTGTAGTGTTGTCTGGGTGGGAGAAGAATCAACTCAGGCTCCATGTTCTATTAGGTCAGGTGGTTCCAAGATTGGATATGATGACTTCGAAATGCCTGGGGGTTAGCACATCGACATGAGTGATAGAAGTTCTGTTTCTGAGTTGGGCATGTAGGGGAAACCACTGAACTAATAACAGAGATGAGGGTCTCACCTGGATATCAGCAGTCACTGACTTGAAGTAATGGGTACAGTCACCCTACATAAAAGACAGTGACAATCCAAGTATTGGATGTGGGGGATGCTGAAATCTCCACACTGCTCCTCCATTTAGATGAAGTTGGGTTAAAGGGGAAAGCCAGATCTCAAAGTTTTTGTGAAAAAATGTGAAATAACTGAGAGCTCAGTGGCAACGAGAAGGTTTGGGATTATCATAGTCTATAAATAATACACACCATATGCCACATACCATAGAGGTGACCTATGCTAATAGTATTGGTTTTTACTTATTAATTCTGGTGGGTGTTTTTATGACTACTATTTCATTTATTAATATATAAACAGTCAGGATGTACTAACTCCCTCTTATAAATAATGATGAAATTAGTACCTGGGTCTTGCTTTTGCATCTGTTTTCTATTTTTCTGTTTCCAATTTTTACTTCTTATGTTTTCAAAGAGCTATATATATATATATATATACACACACACATATGCATTTCTACAACTACAATTAAACTACTGTTCTTATCTATAGATTGTTTCTAACATAAAATACACATCTCTGGCATTCACAATACCCTCCCTGTGCTTTTAAAGGAAGAAAAACAGGGAACATGAATTTTGCTTTAAGGTACAGAAACCTGCAGGTGCTCAAGAGGGGCCAGAGGTTGCTTTTGCTGCTGCAAGGAACAAAGGCTGTTTCTTTGCACTCACTGACCTCTGCATCATGTGCATGTGTGTGTGTATGCACACATGCATGCATGCATTATTCCCAGCACCTGGCACATGCCTAATGAGACAGCAATAGCTAACATGTAAGCTCTAGCTCTGGGCCAGCACTGCACTAAGCTCTTGACTTACGACCTCGCTGAATTTCCCCATTGTGCCTATGAGTCTAATCACTTAGGGATAAATGTCAACAGTAGACACTTAAATAAATCAAATTATCCAGAGGATTCAGAAAGATGTCAGTGTAGTCAGGATATAGAGTGTGGCTTAGACCTTCTCCAGGGGAGGGGCCAGCTTCCAGGCCCCTGGAGTCTCCCTAGCAACCCGCAGATGACAGTGGATGATAATGACAGTCCCTCCCATCCCCCTCAGGTCTAGCCTGGCCTGGGGGTGCACCCACCTCATAGACCTCAGAGGTGCATGATGGATTCTGGGATGGCCAGGGTGGAGATCACGGCCTATTTAGACCTGGGCAAAAGCCTCATCTATCTTCCTTGGCCTCCCAGGCTAACAGGCTGTGCATGAGCTATTCTTGAATTCAGTTTCCTGGCCATTTCTCAGATCTAGGTCCTCACATTAGCTGTAAGTCTTACCATGTAGATGGGTCCTATTCTTGTTTCCATTTTAGAGAAGAGGGGATTAGAGGTTTAAAATTTGCCTAAGATTGCGTTAGCTAATAAGTAGCCAAGGTAGGATGTAGTCTGACTCCAGAGTATTTATTAAATAAGGGAATGTGGGGTGGAAGGAGGGAAGGAAAGGGAGGGAGGAAAGGAAGGGAAAAGGGAGGGAGGGAGGGAAAAATGGAGAGAGGGAGGGAGTTCTGAATATATCTACCAAGATAATTCCTTAAGGAGCATAAGCTCTATGAGGGCAGGAATCTTATCCACCTTCCACACGTATATCTTCCCAGCATCTTGAACAGTACTTGGCACTTATTAAACAATTAATATTTGTTGAGTGTGCAATACATTTTTCTTTCACACTCCATTCTTATCTCAACAACTTGCCTTTTTACACACACACACACACACACACACACACACACACACACACGACTCTTGGCCTAGAGTAAGAGGGGAAATAGAAGGGGAAAATTCAGACCGTACTAGGCATTTACTGGCTCAAGTGAGGAAGCGCTGAGTGACAGGAATGTGACAGCCTTGGCTAAAGCAGTCCCAGTGACTGTAGCTGTAATAACAGGGATGACATTGGCTTTGTCACACCTGCTCGGAAGTAATCAAGTTAATATCCATCAGCTCCCGTGGAGACTGTGAGTCAGACCATATTTCATGGTTGAGAGTGTCTTCTCACTTTCATGGTCTCCTGCCATGCCAACTCTATTAAGAACAGATCTAATGGCTGCTGCTCCAACACACCCAACATTGAACATTATTCTTTCATGGGTTTTCCTTTTCTTGTCTTGCCCTTTCCCTGGGACTCACAGCCTCTCATGGTTCTCTCTGTCCCCTTGCCAGAATAGTGGGGAAGTAGAAGAGGGGGATTTACTCATTTTCAGAGAACTAGGGTAAACTCATGGGAAATGGACTTAGTGGTCATCCTGGCTCTCCCATGCCTTTGGTCTTGACCTTGGGCACATGACAGGATGCTAAGAACTGCTGTTTATCAGGGGCACTGATAGGCCACACACATGCTACATGCATTATGTGCCTTAGCTCACTTATTTTAGTTTATTGCATCATCGCAAGAACCCTGAGGGGGTGGGCTCTGTTCCTTCTACTTTATGGATAAGGAAACTGAGATTAGAGAAGGTAAAATAGCTTGTTTGAGGAACTGGGATTTGAATCCCAGGTGTCTGTCCGAGAGGCAGAACCCTTTACCCTAGTTTATGATCTTTATTCCCAACACAAGGACCCTTTTCTGTTGTCCAGCTCTCCTAGAACGCAAAAGCAAACTCCTGGTTGAGTGCCCACAATCCCACAGCCCCACACTGGGATTTGTTGCATTCCAGCATCTTGAATTAGGTGTAGTGGTTGGAGATGGAGAGGATTCTCCTGAGTCTGACTTTGGGCTTCTCCGTACCCTTTCTCTGGAGATAAAGGATTTGTTTGGAGCCTAAAACGATGAGATCCAACTTGGAAAGTCACAGTTTGCTGTAGTGTCCTCTTCCTATAGGGGTTCTTAGGGAACACAATAGTCAACATTTATTGAGCCCTTGCTACAGGCCCAGCCCTGTGCTAAGAATTGTTACATAACCTTCGGGAAGTGCTTACTAAAGGGAGGACGAATCAGGAGCACTTCCAGCATACCTGCTTGCCCTGGGGAAGGCCCATGAAGTCAGGTTCAGAGAAGAGTTATGCGTGACCGCCATGGGTACATGTCCCTACTCCGTACCCACAATGCATCTTCTCTCATTGTCTTCCCTTCGCTTGTCCTCTGGTTTCCAAGTTGCTGAGTGGCATTGAGAGGGCTCCCTCTTGAAGTGTGGCAATTTTATGAGCTTCATTTGAATGAGTCAATAAACTCCTCAGTATCTCTGTAATAGGCACCGAATGTCCAGGAGATTAAGCTTGATGCCTGCTTTGTTCCCTCCTTGACACACACACACACACACACCCCTCCCACACTTTCCCCTGGTCCCTCCCGCTCCTGCCCCATTCTGTGCCTCTCACCATCCTGTCCTTCGGAGGCTGTCCACAGCCTCAGACTCATTTTCTCACCCCAGTTCCAGCACTGAATCACACCATTAGCTTTTCATAACTCCTCCTGTGGGTGCCCGCCTCAGCTCTCTGCATCCTCCATACGCCCTAATCCTGCTGTTTATCTGGGTTTCTGATAATTAGGTATCTTCGGCCTCTAAACGGCGGTGGGTGGCGGTTTTCTTCATTTTATAACCGCTTGCCAGATTTTTCATA